CCCACCGTCACGGTCTTAAGAGATTTTGCAAACCAAATTGCGGGTGGGTGGGTGGGATGTTTGCGCGAGCAGTAGAGTGGACAATTCACTGCGAACAGAAATTAATTCTCCTTTCTAAAACTAGAATAAACTCTACCCCCCCCGGGCGTTATCCCCCCCTTTCGGGTATATAAATCATGTGTGATTATGACCACATGTCCATCTTAAATATGAGTTTACACTATCCCAGAGGAGCCAGTATGGACCCCCCTGAGGTTCCCTTGTAAAAAACAATACGCGGGGAAACCTTTTGCTCTGACATAAAATTTGTCCACGAACCCCTTGCAAAAAATGGGACGAAGTGCACACGCGCGCGACGTCGCGCGCGCATGCCGAAATCCTTCAAAAATCTTTGGCGCCGGAAGGATTTCGCAATGGAGTTTTCAAAAAAACTACAAAAGCACAGGGTTTCGCAACACTGATTTGCTAAAAAAGCTTACGCGCGAGCTCTTGCGAAATCTTAAGAAACCATTTTTTTCCGGATTTTCAAAAAATGCTACCAAACGGGCTTCGCGCGCGCGCATGTCGAAATCTGTCGAACGCCCTTGCGCGTGTGCCGTCGCGAGACTCCTCTGCAAAAAATGAGACGAAGTGCAGGCGCGTCGTCGCGCGTGTGCGCCCGAGTCCTTCAGAGCCCATCGGTTTCGGAAGGATTTCAAAATCGTGTGTCCAAAAAATCCTACAAACACACAAGGTTTCGCAACACAGACTTTCAACAAAAGCGTGCGCGCGCGCTCTTGCGTCGTCGTCGTCTTCGTCGTCGCCGTCCTCCCTCCTCCCGCGTCGTCGTCGCCTACGTCGTCCGCCGCCGCCGTCGTCGTCGTCGTCGTCGACGTCGTCGTCGTCGGCGTCGTCGACGTCGTCGTCGTCGGCGTCGTCGTCGTCGTCGGTTTCGTCATCGTCGTCGTCGTTGTCGTCGTCGTCGGCGTCGGCGTCGTCGTCGTCGTCGGCGTCGTCGGTGTCGTCGTCGTCGTCGTCGTTGTCGTCGTCGTCGAAGTCGTCGGAGACGTCGTAGTCGTCGTCGGCGTTGTCGTCGTCGTCGTCGTCGTCGGCGCCGGTGTCGTTGCCAAGTGCCATTTGGAACCTACCGTCACGGTCTTAAGAGGTTTTGCAAACCAAGTTGCGGGTGGGTGGGTGGGATGTTTACAAGAGCATGAGATGTGTCACATCATGGGTAAAAATCAACTGCAGCCCATAGATTGTACAACATTGATCGTACCACCTATATTGCACCACATAAATGGCACAACAGATCTTGCTAGAACCCACACTGTTTGGGGTCTACGCTGGCTGACATGTGGCCCTCTGGATGAACCAGGAGGGAAGACAGGTGCACCTTTCTTGGGCCCTCGGGGCCCCAGGGGGGCCCAAAGGTGCGCGTTTCTTCGCCCCTCCGCTTGTCCCGCCCCCCCCCACCCACCTTGCAACCCGCAATTGGAGGTTCTGGTCACCATGGGTGGACGCGGCTCAGAGAACTGAACAGGATGGGCTCTGGGCGGTGTCCACAAGTAGGTTTCGAATTGATTTGGTGGAGCCCCTTTGGGGATAGGGGTGGGGGGGGAGCGGAAGGGGGAAGCGATGAGAGAGAGGGGAGGGTTGGTGATTGGGGTGGGTTTGGCAGGAGGAGGGGAAGAGGGAGGGAGGAGTGGGCGGGGGGGGGGAGTTAGGATGGGGGTCAGGGCAGGGAGGAAAGCGGGAAAGAGTCAGACGGCCACGAACCGCCTGGTCTGTTAGGAGCCGGTGGACGAGGGCAGTCGTTCATTCGACATAGATTCACGCACCCATTTTCCATCCACTCTCCTTCCAGGCCCCCTGCAGCGCAAGGTATGATGCCAATAGTTATGTGGGTTCTCTCGGACGCGAACCCAGCACCACCCGTTTTCTCTGGCAATTGTTTCTGCGCACGCATCTCCATTCTCCCCCATTTCCATCCCACCCGTTCCGTCTTATCCCTCGTCATCTTCATCGCCACCAGCAACGTCAATGTCAACGTCCCCGTCAGTTGCGTAAGAGTTTAGGTTCAAGCCGTTGTAGTACAAGGCTGCTAGTACTTTGGATCAGGCGAGGAAGAGTTGCGAGCCATTTATGCGTTGATATTCTGCGACTGGGCGGGATTGTTATTGGCGAGTCGTGCCCCTTGTGCGCGTTGGTATCACGGTGGACGCTTATCTTCAAATACTGGTCTGATAGTAGTGATTGAAGCTGTTGCTGGTGAATACCCCTTTTTGCTTGACACGCCTTCTGAGTTCCCACGCAGTGGGCTACGGTCGCACGTGATCTGCACACTGAACGTTGTGCTGGAGATGAGCTCAATCGTGGCCCTGGAGCTCTGACCATTCGTGCGCGTCATTCTTCACCAACGATGCTCGGATACATGACCGTGGACCTTTCGCTATATTGTTGGCGCAGTACATCATAGTCTCGGTCTCTGAGCCTGCGTGTCAGCTGTGTTGCCATTGATTTTGGCAACCTCTAGCGCCAAATAGCGTATCTCCAGGACCTGGTCAAGATTTCCTAAGTTGCAGGACGTCGCAGCGGTGGTTTCACAAGTATGGTTGCCAGAGGGGTGGAATCGGTAAATCTGCGCTGTCCCGCGACCCGCTGGGCGACCGATTCGGGCCCCACGCCATCTGCGAATCACGTACCCTAACTCTTATCCAAGATTGCGGGCCTATACGTTCGGGGCATACGCACGACTTGTTGTTCACACGTTGTTGGCATTAATTACCCTGACGCCGTAGTGCGCCCCCCCTTCGGAAAGCTTGCAAATTGGGTGGTAAGTTAAGCTTGCCACGTGTTCAGCCAGTCGGGCGATGCCCAAAAACTCGTGGCACCAACATGCCCAACAGCTGCAATTGCTGGCGTCTAGACGGACAAATCCCCACGATCAGCGGCGGAATGGAAGCGAACTAATCACCCAGGGTGCAGTTGGTCTTTTCTGGCAAGGTGGAAGTTACTGAAGCGCTCCTCGTTGAGTCGCACAGTTGGCTGTCTACGTCGGCAGTAACAAGCCGTAAACGTTTTAAAGTATGGACGAGAGGGGGCACAGTGGGTGGCGTGCTTGCGATTGTTCCGGGGATTGCACACAAGGCAAGTCGGGAAGCGGTCCTGGTAAGTGCGAGCAGGGCGGTGTTGAATGGCCATGGATGTTTGCACCATCGTTGGCACAAGTGTGTCTGAGTGTGTGTCAATTCTTTGCATTTGGTGGTGGTGTCCCTTGTCTTCGTTGGTGAGCACATGTTGGAGCCAGTTGTTTGCATGTTGCTACATTGCCTTCACTACTTCGAGACATTGTCCATGACTTTTCATGTAAATATGCCACTGGTTCTGGAACGCCATGTTCCACTCAATCTCCGTTTGCAGCCTCTCTGGGGGCGGTCCGAGACATTGGTTTGTACACGGGTTTGAGCGGTCTTGACTCTTAGACATGTATGATTAACGGATGTTTGCACGTTCTTTCGGTGTCCAATGCAGAGCCATGTGTGCCCAGTGTTGGTTGCGATTGTGTGTGTCCAGGCGAATGTTCTGGATAGCCTGATGATTTGGACAGCACATGCAGAAGTCCACAGTTACACGTGATAGGCGGGCGCATTGAACGGGTGAACGTTGAGGAGCGAGGGACACAGAAGAAAAAGTTGTCCTGTTCAGATGGCAAGGTTCGTTTTGCCAGTCCTAGACATGTCGCCGTCCAGACTGGCGGCTTTGGTGACAGCACTATTATTGGGGCGCGCTCTGTGTTGCGTTTGCGTTTACGTCGTCCAGTTATGTTGTAGCGGAGGATCGCGATTGCCTCGTTTGGCCCAGGCGAGGGTATTACCCGAGTTGGTGGCAAGTTCCATCGATCAGAAGGTGTTCCGCTTGTGTTTGTTGGCTTTCCTGTGCGATTGGATTCTCATCCATCTGCAGGAATGCACGTCTGTGTATTCGGCTAGTTGGCAATGTTCCGTATGTGTTTGGTGCTCTCTTTTTCCGTGTTGCCGAGCATGTGTTTTCGTGGTTTGACAGTCGTGGCATGGTGTGGCAGTGGTTTGTTGTAGGTTGCAATTCGTGGTTTTTGTTCGCCTATGGCAGATTGGCTCGCGCAGCGACGTTGGATTAGTTGGCAGTCTGAGCCTGCAATGCTCTGGCCCTCAGCTGCGCCCGATTAGGTTCCCACTTCGCGGTCCTTGCTATTGTTGTTTGTCCCCGTCTTCATCCTCCTCCTGCTCCTCCTCCTCCTCCTCTCCTCCCTTTCCCTCCTTGTGGCCTCTGCATTTTTACTTCAGGCATGGGCCATGGTTTGAGGCGATAGAAGTGTGTGTGGCAGCCGTGGTTGACAGCCACGTTGCCCACTCACCTTCCTCGTCTTCCTTTCCTCCTCCTCCTCCTCCTCCTCATTTCGTCTTCTCGCCAGTGATTCGTTTACCTCTGACACGCTGCGGTAGATAAAAACCATTGGTCAGTCTCTGCCGCGTATCGCCGTGGGGTGGCCAGATTATTCGAAAGATGGTGTAGTCGCCCCCGTCTCTCGACATTCTTCCCCAAAAAACGTGTATTCGTGTTTTGGCGTGCCGTTCGCCCACGCGTCAGAAAGTTCGAGGGCACAATCCTCCAAAGTTCGGTTTGTGTGAGAACCGCTCCCCTGGCGATCTGCCCAATTCGTAGTCAGAGCGCATACTACAATACACGACATTATGTTGGTCAGACTCAGCTTGCCCACGGACCCCTTCGATCACACAGCTCCTCCATGTCTTCTTGCACATGCATGTTCCTCATCATGCATGTTCCCTCGAGTTCGCCTCGACATCATCCCCTTTGTCACCCCTGCCGATACGAACTATCAGCCTGATCCTCTTCCGCCTCCGCTTTCACCTCGTCCTTCTCGTCCTTCCTCCTCCTCATCCTCCTCTTCCTCCTCCTCCTCTTCCTCCCCGCCTTACTTACCCTTGTGTGCACATATAGTGCCCTTGCCCCACTTCGGCATGCGGAAGCCGTCGTGCCTCGGCAACTCGCCGATGCTGCGCGCGCTGCGCTACGCCGAGACTTCAGACCCCGAGGAGGAGCACACCCCCAGCACGCCTAGTTTCTGTTGGTTCCTTTTCCTCGTCCTCCCCATCGTCCTGCGCCTCACTCATCAGCCGCCTACGACTCATCGCTATGGCATTGTGTGTCATTGTGTGTCTGTCATGGTGCCCCCCCCACACGATTTCCTCATCGTATTCACTACCTTCCATTGCCTCCTCGTCATAACGATGATTATCCACATCAACGTCTTCCGCATAGCTACATCCCCTGTGTCCCCCGACTCCTTCCTCTACCCATCCGACCAGATCTCAACTCTCCTAATTTCTGCGTTCCTCATCCCTCCCGCCATCTTCCCGGTATTCCCCATCCCTCCCTCTGCCCTCCAGACCCTTTTCCCAGTATGACCCCCCCAGCCCTGCCTCCCCCCTGTCCAGCCTTCTGCCCCCTGAATGGCCCTTCCTCCCCGCACCCCTCCCTCGTGGCACTCGCACGGTGCACCTGCCCCGACGCCCACGTGTGTGCGGGGGCAGATATGGAAGAGGGGAGAAGGCAGGGCAGGAAGAGGAACGGGGCGGACGAGGAGGAGAGAGAGCTCCCCTCGCAACACTGTCGGCTCTGGCCATGACTGCACCAGCACGGTTGCTGGCAGGCTCCCGCCACGCCTTCGGAAAAGGCCCCGCACTCCCATGGCCGCTCCGGGCTCACATAGAGAGAGTGACGGGGCAGGGAAGGGAAGGACGGAGTGGAGGGAGAGAGAAGGACGGAGGGAGAGGGAGAGATAGAGAGGGAGGGGCGCAGGGAAGGGAGGGGGAGAGCGACAGGGCCCATGCGCGCCCTCGAACCACACCCGCAGTACTTTTGACCGTGGCACCCCAGGGGCCGAGTGCAGATCCCTGGACTACGTCGGTCCACGGCGAGGTACGACGAAGGCAATCTGCAGTCAAGGTGCAGGGAAGGTGGCACGTGCCAGAGCGATTGCCTCGCGCGCTGATGCAAAAAGCGCTGCATCGCACCCAGACCGGAGCTTTCGTCACTTCTCCTCGAGCTCCAGTTGTCGGGGGCGGCCAAGAGGGGGGTGATGACTAGGGGGGTGGATACCATGGCCGGGGCCACAATGTCTCCCCAGATGTTATGGCTCCCTTCCTCTTAACTCAGTACGTGCCCTGGTCCCCCCCCCTGGTTCGCGCACATGCCTCGGGCCACGATTTGCGAACCCCCCTCTTGGACGCCCCCCTTCTTGGACGCCCCCAGGGTTGCGCTCATCACGTCTCCTCGAGATCCACCTGGGCCCTCCACCTGGGAGTTCCACGGGATAGTCGCCGTCGGCAGTGCGCAGGGCGGGCTCCCCACGAAGTCCCTAGCCCGGCCCCCTTCTTCAGTGGTTGTACAAGTTGCGGCCACGATGGATGTTCCCCTTGGCTTTGCATTTCCTCGTCATCTTTGGTGGTTCGCTGCTATGTGTTGCGGATCAGACGCCCGCAGCGAGAATGAGGAGGAGGAGGAGAAGGAGGAGGAGGAGGACGAGGAGGAGCGGGAGAACGAGAAGGAGGAGGAGGAGGAGGAGGAGGAGGAGGAGGAGGAGGAATAGTCATGGAGTCATGGACCCAGGAAGTGCGCGGTGCACGCCGCGCGCAAGCGGGCCACAATGGCAAGCAACCCGTACCCCCAGCCTCCCCTCCCCTTTACGGGAGGAAGCGGGCCCGAAGGCGCGCGCACCGAAGAACAGGGGATTGGCAGCTACTTCGTCGCCCAGCGACTTGCCTCCAGCCGAGAGGGCGTGGTGCCTAGAGGGACGGTCGTTTCACCTCGTCACTGCGAGATGGTTGCCAACTATCGACCCCTGCCCAATCAGCTGGCATGCGCAATTGGGTTTGTTCCCCCGGGTGAGCGGGCACGAGGCCCCCATGGGACTTGCGGGCCACATGGCCCCGCCACTCAACCAAATGCGCAATCCCCCGTGCCTGGTACCCATCTCCAGGTCACGGAGCGTGGCTAGCGCCGCTGCTACGGGCAAAGTGCCACGTGACTGGTCCCGAAAGGCGCGAGCCGGTTTAGCTGCCTCTAGTCGCCGCACGCAATCCACTCTGGCGGTGTGCCCCAAGGAGCTGAGGCTGGAGGAAGAGGAGGAGGAGGAGCATGAGCAGGAGGAGGAAGAGGAGGAGGAGGGAGAGGAGGAAAAGGCTAATACAGATAATGCTCCTCCTCCTCCTCCTCCTCCTCCTCCTCCTCCTCCTCGCCCTTCTCATCTCATCATTCTCGTCACCCCCCCGAGCTGGGCATACCGGGCCACGTGGACTTTGGCGATTTCACTTTGTGCCACAGCGACGCCAGCGGCCTCGAGGCGTTTGACCGGCGCGACGGCGGTGAGTGGAGGCAATTACCCGCGGGGCGGCTGCACTTCCTGGCCGCGGGACTGTTTTTGTTTACGCATTCTTGTTTTGGAGGGAGCGCGCAGAAGCAGAGTGAGGGGGGATGAGGACGGGGGAGGACGACTGCGATGCTGACTTTTTGGAGGGGGCATCGAGGGTAAGTGGTGAAGGCTGCTCCACGCAAAAAGTGCGATGCACCGTTCACCGCTTCATATCATCTCCTTAGTAATCATCATCCTCATCGTCATCATTATCCTCATCGTCATCGTCATCATCATCATCATCATCATCGTCATCGTCATCAGCATCATCGCCATCATCATCATTACCATCATCATCATCATCATCATCATCATCATCATCATCATCATCATCATCATCATCATCATCATCGTGGTCGTCGTCATCGTCATCGTCATCGTCATCATCATAACAAGCCTCATCATCGTCATAGTCATCAAACTCATCACCACCATCATCATCAGAGTCATCAACCTCATCAAACGATTCCACGGCCCTGCGGGTTGAGGCTCGCGCCGCCGCAGACCGATAATGTCGCACAGCGCGAGCTGTCGCAGCGGGGACGCAGAGCGCAGCTGCGCCATCCAGCAGAGAGCACGCGGGGGGGCAAGCGCCAGAGGCCCGTGTAAAAGGCAGGCGTGGCCACGGGGAGCCCACCGGACACCCCGCTGTTCGCTAGTGCCTGATGGTGAGCGGGAGAGGAAGACGGACCGTGGTCAGTGGAGACCCAGACATGCTCGGATGAAAAACGGGTCTTGGGGAAAGTGTCGGGACTTCTGGGGACCGCGTGTAGAAAATTTCGGGACGTCGCATGTCTGGAGAGCGCGCGGGTCCGACCCAAACGGGACGCAGAACAGCCCGGCAGAGCACGCTGCAGAGTGAATTCCAAGGGCGTCAGTTGAACAAACGGGGGCAATCGAGGACACAAATCTAGCGCGCACGCGCAGTGTGCGGCAGGGCGATCGCAGACGTGCCCTCGATGCCACTGGAGTGCCCGACGCATGCGGTTCCCCGCAAGAGTGCGACAACGTCGTTCTCCCTCTGCCTTGGCACAGCAGTGGCAAGCGAAGGGGTAGTGTGCCGCACGGCATCCACAGGCATTTTTGCCGACGGGCGCTTGAAGGTCAGGCGCTCGAGATCCAGAAGCGAGCCTGAACAGGCAGCCACCGGGGGAAATGTGGAGGCGGCGGCGGGGCTGGCGGGCAGTGGACAGCGCAGGACCGTGCCAATGTAGCGGGCGTGTGCGGACACATTTCGGAGGGCGGCTATGCAGCCCCTCGGGGTTGCGAGGAGCCCAGGGGCACCAGGGCGTCCCCAGCTGGAGGATCGACGGGCGCGGGCGGAGGCTGCCGCGGCTGGTGGCTCAGTCCGCGGAAACCATTCGGCGGATCAAAGAGGGGGCGGGAGGCCATGCGGTGACATCGGGTTTTTTTGAGACCTTACGGTTCGTCACCGCACTCCTTGGGAGCCTCGGGTGTCCCAGTGGTCCGAGGCATTGGCGGACGACGGACCAAGTCTCAAAGCCGTGCGGTCAGCCCGAATCACAACTAAATCATTACACGGTGTGGTCACCCCACAGTTTGGGTATCCCCGAGAAGCGGGCGCCTCTGGAGACCGCAGATGGCGCGCGAAGTCCACACGTGAGCGGGACAGGGCGCCAGTGCCGCAGAAGAGAGTTCAGTTCCCGGGGAGCCCCTGGTGGATTACAGAAGGGGAGAGGAGATTGCCAGAGGCCGCAGACGGCGAGAGAAGTCCACGCGCGGGTGGGGCAGGGCCAGTAGTCGCGAGCGGCCACCGCGAAACACAAGGCCAAGGGCAAGGGGGGAGATGATTTGGCTGAGGCCTGGCCGCGGCCAGACGCGGCTTGCAAAATCGGTTGGGAGGGTTCCTGAGAGGTGCGGGAGGGGCACGGGGAGAGGGGGGAAAAGCAGGAGAAGGAGGCGGGGGTAAGGAGGGCCTTGGCCGATTCGAGACGCCAGGGGTCTGGGCGCGCAGCCAGGAGAAAGATAACGGGCCCTGTGTGAGAAGGCCATGGGGGTGTCCCGCCCTTTGCCGAGCCGCCTTGGGGAGAGGGGGAGGGAGGGAGTTGGAGAACAGAGCGAGCGAGCGAACGAAGGAGTGAGGGAGGCGACCCTCCCAGGCCAAGAGCTGGGGAAAATCGTTGAACGGGGGGCAGTTGCCGCGGGGCCCTCCCACCCGCTCCATGCCCACTTGTGGCTTGCGACCCCCGGTGCCGACCCCCCAGTGGTTGATTGGGAGTTTGTGTACAGATATGGACGAGGGCCGTGCGGTAAGTTTCAATGTGATCCCAGCCGACCTATCTGTGTTGATGGCTCGTGTATCAACCCTGAGGTGGAGATGCTGGAGCGAGGACGCCTGGCGGCATGCCAGGTAGATAATGACGGCAATATCCTGCTCGCGGTTTCGTCTCAGCCGCGGACCTTGCCGCAGCAGATTGTCCATTGTGAGCATTCCAGGCGTGTCATGACAGGGCTGCATTCGGATCTGGCGCCGTCTCCAGAATTTGATCTGGACTGCACGTTTTGTTTGTTCGAGGGGTCACGCAGTTCGCCTGTAGCTTGAAGTGTGCCTCTTTGTTTAGCCACTACTGAAGGGCGGTGGTCCATGACACGCTTGTGCCCGCCGAAGCTCATAGCAGTCTAGACGACGCGGTCTCTGAGCAGGGCCGCGCCCGCATTATCAGCAATAGAACTGCCGACGTCCTGGTCAAAGAGGCCGCGAGCAAGCATGACCTTGCTCCCACCACCCCCACAGTGATTCCTGAAGAGTTGCTGGAGCTCGTGATCGATGTTGGGCGGGTGCTTGCTGGCTGGCCCCCTGCCCGTGAGTATGTCGACCCCCTGTCCAATGCCATTCGCGCCACTCCTCCCCTCCAAGCCCCTCCTTCCTCGGCCTCCTCTCTCCTCTGTGCTAGCTGGCCCCGTCACGTGAGTACTTCGGCCCCTTGTCCCCTCCCACAACCCTACCTGAACAGGGAAAGGATAATCGCTGCAAGGCAGGAGGCAGCGTTCTCAAGAACATTCTCGGCTTCTCACAGATGCAACCAATCCGCACCGAGCCCTGCACCATTCCCTCGATATGTGATGGATTGATGGGAGCAGCATGCCAATTATCTATTACACTCTCTGGGGGGCGACCGACAGGAGGCTTACTACAAAAGAGAGGACATGGACGTGTGAGGAGGAGGAGGTTGAGAAGTCGGGGAGAGGGTGGATGAGTAGGGCGGGGGCCGAGCAGAGAGGCGGAATGAGAAGTGGAGGGGGTTAAGGGGAGAGGAGGAGGAGGAGGAGGCCAACGACGAGAACGAGAACGAGGAAAAGGAGAGAGGGGACGACGAGGTCGGACAGGGAAAGGTTCGAGAAGGACCAGAAAACGCAGAGGACGAGGAAAGGGAAGATGAGAGTGCTAGACATGTTGTGTTCGAATTGCGCTGATGCCTGGAAATGCATGTGGTTCCTAGTGCTCCCTGACCCTATGGTAACGATCAGGCTCACCACAGCCAATACAGATGGACAGCTGCCAAATGAAAACGAACACTGCACTCGGTTGTACGTACACGGATGCTGGGCTCGCCCAGATTATTAGAGAGTTGTGTACAGTTCGTCCAGTCGGTTATAAGTATAACGGCGTAGGATGTTTTTTGTGTCGTTTGGAGTATTTTGCCACTTGCCCGTCAGTCAGGAAGGAATTGGGCGACCATGACAGGGCTAGACACCGCCGAAACCATTGCGCACAGCTTCGGTGCACTAGCTGGTGCACGACACCACTGAATGAATGCACATACGTGTGATATTAATGATCCTTGTCGGGTCTGTCGGGCGCTTTATATTATCAATTGGTTGTTTCTTCGCCGTTCGTTCCCATGTCCCCTTATGGGCTCTGGCTCTGGCGTGGCAGGACTCCAGGCATTACACCACGCTACGGTGGCTGCCACTCACCGTGCATTGTGCGATTTCCCCCTTTGTTGTCGACTTGTTGGTTTAATCGTATCACTGGTCGCTGGGGCCATCGGCGACCCACAGGGGACACACGCACCACGCCACTGCCCGTTCCCATTGCTTCGCTTCAGTGTTCCATATTGTCATTGTTCCATCTCTGGGCTCGCCTTGTCCCACATGCAGCGATTCAGTGCACGAGCTCGCCTGTGGGGCCTTGGCATGCGCCGCGTCCACAGCATCTTGGATAGCTGTGTGAGCCTTGCGAGTCCCGCTGCAATGTCAGATTCGATGTGGCGATGCGCTGCTGTGGGGTGGGAATCGAGCCCGCTTCCCCTTTGCGCACTATGGATGTGAAGTTGGAGTGGTGTTCCTCAAGCTCAGAAGGTGCAGACAGGACCGCGGTTGCTCGAAGCGTGGATTGCAAAGTGTGTTCCTGACACAGAGCCGATGAAGAGTGTAGACAATACAGCGTGTCTTAGTTAACATGTTACTTACTTGTGAAAGATGGCAAAGCTGAAAATTGCACACGTTGTGAGATGGAGCGTACGCTTGCGGGATCCTCCCAGGAAGCTTCAGCAGCACTGGATTGGTTTCCTCAAACGCTGCCTGATCGCAGGGACTTTGGTCATTACAAAGAGGTGCGCGAGATTTCAGGTTCCAGAGACTAGCCACAGCAAGCTGAGTAGCCCTGAGTGCTGCCAGAAGGTGATAGTGATGGTGGTCATGATCACGATGATGGTGATGATGACGACGGTGATGGTGACCTGGATGATGCAATGTCCTCAATGACGCCTGAGCCGAAGCCAAAGCCGCAGCTACAAATAAAACCACGCTTCAGCTAACGCCAGAGCAATCCGTAGCCTTTTTGGGGCAACCAATGTTTGACCAGGTCGCTAGCAGGAGAACACTCCCGGCGGGCACGCTGCGCCAGGCTCGGGATGTCAGAGTTGCACGGGCTGCCCGCGATGCACCGCTCCGTCAGCCTGCCTCCTCGCCAGAGGCGGGAGTGCACCGCAATGCTGTTGCACGAGTTGAAGCAACCGACATCATTCCTCTGCCCGATCTCGCACCAGTCCATGCACGACCCCTTGCTGCTCGCGGACGGGCACACGTATGAGAGGCAGCGCATCGAGCTCTGGCTCCCCCACGCCACCACTTCGCCAGTCACTGGGCTGGAGCTCTCCTAGACCGACATACATCTTGATCAGACGTTGCGAAGCGCCATCGACGAGTATTTCAACGAGGTCTTTTGCGTGTCCCGACAGACCGTCCGAAAGGCGATTCGCAGCCGCGTGGCAGCAGGGACCTCGCCGCAGACGGCATGCTCAAGCGCACACTGGATGCGCTAATGCAGAGCTCGTTGTTGGTGAACGCCGACCACAGCGTAGAGTACATCCTGCGGCAGATCATGGACGGCCAAGACATGCGTCGGTGCGGAGGTCGCGTCTGTCTATCTTGTGGACACCATTCGGCAAGAGCTCTACTCCACGGTGAACTCGACGGACGGAGAGTTACAGATCGTTATGAACGCCAGCATCCCGGGCCACGTTGCCACGACCGCGAAGACGGTCGTCATCAATGATGCGTGCGCAGATGCCCGTTTCGACAAGACGGTCGATTGGAAGACGGGCTTCAAGGTGCGGAAGATGTTGTGCGCTCCGTTGAAGGTAAAGAAGGTGACGTCGTCGGCGTGGTGCAGCTGAGAAACAAGACAGGTGGCGGCGTGATGGCCATCGACGGCCCTCCCAGCGCGCTGCCAGGGGCGGCTTCTGACGACCCCGTTGGCTAGGGCCGCCCGTTCACGGTGGAAGATTCACAATTCTTGCAGGTGTTTGCTTGGCAGGCGGCCGCGGCAGTGGCCAACGACGTCTCGCACGAGATTGGTCGTCCGCTGCATCCCGCGAGGCGGCCCGGGGAACCAGCGACAGTGCCAGCGCGGACGCCGAGGCGGGGAGCGGCACCGCGGGCCAAGTTGCGCAGGGCTGCCTCTTCGTGGGCCTCGCGGGCCCTGATGCGCCGAAGCCGGGAGGCGGCCCCGCAGACAGTGATGGCGCCAACGTCGGAGCCAGCGCCAGCGGAGGTTCAGCTACCACACAAGCAGCCCAGCGAGGCTTCGGCTATGCCGCAGGAGGCCGCAGCGCTGCTCGAAGAGTCACTGGACGGCTGGGAACAGGACGTGGTGAGGCTGGCAGCGTTTACCGACGACCGGCCGCTGAGCTCGCTTGGTTGCCTCTTGCTTGAGCGGCTCGGGCTGGTGGCGCGGTTCGGCCCACAACCGCCTCCACGTGGCCTCCGTGCTGCACCTGACCCGCGCGGCGCTGCGCAGCGGGGCCCTCGCGCAGAAGGCTGCGGCCCAGCTCCACGAGGGCGATGGGGCGCTGGAGACGATGACCTTCTTGCTCGCAGCCGTCGCTCACGACTTCGAGCATGCTGGGTGCACGAATGATTTCCTGGTCCAGACTGGCCACGACCGAGCGCTGCGCCACAACGACGGGCACTTGAATGAGAATCACCACGCCGCCGCATCGTTCGCGCTGCTCCAGCGCCCTGGACTGGATTTCCTAGTCGGGCTGCCGCGGGAGGAGTTCCGCCGACCCCGGGGGCCTCTGCGTGGAGCTGATCCTTGCCACCGACATGGCATCCAGCAAGAGTATCTTGGACTCGTTCAGCGCCGCACTGGACGGGTCCGCTGGAGCCTCGCGGGGCTCGCCTTCTGGGCCTGGCATATGGGCGGTCCCCGAGGACGGCTGAGTCACGCCCAGCTCGGCCACGGATGCGGTCTTGCTGCTGCAGGCGGTGTTCAGGTCTGCAGGCCTCGGCCACCTCACCCGTACCCGATCCCTGCACGTGCACTTCGCGCATGATCTGGAAACGGAGTCTTCCGCGCAGGGCGACCAAGAAAAGGCTCTGGGCAGGGCGGTCTCCTTCCCGGTGCATCGTGGGAGGCCAGGCGTCGCCTCCCTCCAGGGTGGCTTCCTCGAGCCCCTCGCCCCGCCACTGCTCCAGAGCCTTGCGAGGGCTTGCCATGCGCTCCAGCCGATGCTTCGAGGGGCTGGGGAAGACTGCCAGTACTGGAAGGGCCTGCAGAGCCAGGGGGGCAGCGGCAGCTCCAGGAGCGGATCTCCCCGACCGCACTTTTGCGAAGGCAGCCCCTCGGCAGCGCCGCGGAGGCCTCCGCCGCCGCCCGTCGAGGGGCGCTGCCAGAGTAGTGGCAGAGCGACGCCGTGCAGGTCAGCGGCTCGGATCCGCGCACCGAGCTTGGTTTCTCCGCTGAAATCTGCAAGTGCGACAGCATGAGTTGTCGGACGACCGCGAGTGTCGGGCGAACGGAATAGGCTTCATGAGCAAGGATTCTTCAGCCGCCGAAACAGTTGAAGCAGAGAACGTATTGTACACGCCAGCCGCGGTCGCAAATTCGCGTGCTTACACACGGCTTCCGTCTGTACCGTTCGCGTTTGCAGGTTTGCGGCGCATGGGGAGGAAGCTTCACCGCATTGCCCCTGCCTTTCGCCAGTTGCGCAAGACACGCACGTTATAGACGCGGTCCGCCTTGAACGCAGCAGCGCGCTGCTGCGCGTTAAGACCACATGATGAGGGGCCGCCGCCAGCGAAACGTATGAGCCCCGCCGGGGCTGCATGGGAGGGCAGAGCGCTCTCTGTGGCGCATTCGGTTGTTGGTTGTGGCCGCAAACAGTCGCCCTCTTGGCAGCGGGCTGCTGCGGCAATGCCATGTACACACTGTGCGGCATGATGCGATGCGGCACAGCTCGTGCACGAGTTCTGTGTTCTTCACTTGCGTTACAGGGCGCATCACTGCGTTGACGACGCCACCTCGAGAGAAGGTCTGAGCGGGCTGGCCGCCCGTTGCGCGTTACGCGCGTGCTTTGCAGGCACGCTATGGTTGTGAACGGCGTTGTACAGAAAGTGGCACAAGTATATAATAATAGCTAGATACATGTGCATATATACATATAACGGCGCACCTGGTCCGGGGGCCCGAGGCCGGGACCCCGACCGCAAATGTGGGCTCCGGGGGGCCCGGAGGCTCGTCGGGGCTTGCCGGAGGCCTCCCCGGTCAGACAACACGGCCCCAGGAGCGCCCAAGACGGCCCAAGAAACTTCCAAGAGGCCTCCAAGAGGGCTCCGAGATGCTGAAGATGGCCTCCAGACGTCCAAGGACGCCCCCAAGAGGCCCCAAGAAGCCTCCAACATGCGTCCCAAGAGGGCCCCTAGACGCAAAAATTGGCCCATTCCCTTCGTAAAACGTACATTTTCAACAAAGTTGTCTTTTGGGCTTTCCGACGTTACAGGACGGCCCAAGAGGCGCCCAAGACCGCCCCAAGACGGCCCAAGAAGCTTCCAAGAGGGCCCCAGGACAGCCCAAGAGGGCCCCAAGACGGCCCAAGAGGCGCCCAAGATGGCCCAAGAGGGCCCCAAGACGGGCCCAAGAGGGGGCCCAGAGGGGGACCACGAACCGCAAGCTCGAGCCTTCCGCCCCAAGAGGCCGCCAGGAGGCCCCCAGGAGGCCCCTCAAGAGGCCCCAGGAGACCCCAGACGTCCAAGGACGCCCCCAAGACGCCCCAAGAAGCCTCCAACATGCGTCCCAAGAGGGCCCCTAGACGCAAAAATTGACCCATTCCCTTCGTAAAACGTACATTTTCAACAAAGTCGCCTTTTGGGCTTTCCGACGTTACAGGACGGCCCAAGAGGCGCCCAAGACCGCCCCAAGACGGCCCAAGAAGCTTCCAAGAGGGCCCCAGGACAGCCCAAGAGGGCCCCAAGACGGCCCAAGAGGCGCCCAAGATGGCCCAAGAGGGCCCCAAGACGGGCCCAAGAGGGGGCCCAGAGGGGGACCACGAACCGCAAGCTCGAGCCTTCCGCCCCAAGAGGCCGCCAGGAGGCCCCCAGGAGGCCCCTCAAGAGGCCCCAGGAGACCCCAGACGTCCAAGGACGCCCCCAAGACGCCCCAAGAAGCCTCCAACATGCGTCCCAAGAGGGCCCCTAGACGCAAAAATTGACCCATTCCCTTTCGTAAAACGTACATTTTTCACAAAGTCGCCTTTTGGGCTTTCCGACGTTACAGGACGGCCCAAGAGGCGCCCAAGACCGCCCCAAGACGGCCCAAGAAGCTTCCAAGAGGGCCCCAGGACAGCCCAAGAGGGCCCCAAGACGGCCCAAGAGGCGCCCAAGATGGCCCAAGAGGGCCCCAAGACGGGCCCAAGAGGGGGCCCAGAGGGGGACCACGAACCGCAAGCTCGAGCCTTCCGCCCCAAGAGGCCGCCAGGAGGCCCCCAGGAGGCCCCTCAAGAGGCCCCAGGAGACCCCAGACGTCCAAGGACGCCCCCAAGAGGCCCCAAGAAGCCTCCAACATGCGTCCCAAGAGGGCCCCTAGACGCAAAAATTGGCCCATTCCCTTCGTAAAACGTACATTTTCAACAAAGTCGCTTTTGGGCTTTCCGACGTTACAGGACGGCCCAAGAGGCGCCCAAGACCGCCCCAAGACGGCCCAAGAAGCTTCCAAGAGGGCCCCAGGACAGCCCAAGAGGGCCCCAAGACGGCCCAAGAGGCGCCCAAGATGGCCCAAGAGGGCCCCAAGACGGGCCCAAGAGGGGGCCCAGAGGGGGACCACGAACCGCAAGCTCGAGCCTTCCGCCCCAAGAGGCCGCCAGGAGGCCCCCAGGAGGCCCCTCAAGAGGCCCCAGGAGACCCCAGACGTCCAAGGACGCCCCCAAGACGCCCCAAGAAGCCTCCAACATGCGTCCCAAGAGGGCCCCTAGACGCAAAAATTGGCCCATTCCCTTCGTAAAACGTACATTTTTCAACAAAGTCGCCTTTTGGGCTTTCCGACGTTACAGGACGGCCCAAGAGGCGCCCAAGACCGCCCCAAGACGGCCCAAGAAGCTTCCAAGAGGGCCCCAGGACAGCCCAAGAGGGCCCCAAGACGGCCCAAGAGGCGCCCAAGATGGCCCAAGAGGGCCCCAAGACGGGCCCAAGAGGGGGCCCAGAGGGGGACCACGAACCGCAAGCTCGAGCCTTCCGCCCCAAGAGGCCGCCAGGAGGCCCCCAGGAGGCCCCTCAAGAGGCCCCAGGAGACCCCAGACGTCCAAGGACGCCCCCAAGACGCCCCAAGAAGCCTCCAACATGCGTCCCAAGAGGGCCCCTAGACGCAAAAATTGACCCATTCCCTTCGTAAAACGTACATTTTCAACAAAGTCGCCTTTTGGGCTTTCCGACGTTACAGGACGGCCCAAGAGGCGCCCAAGACCGCCCCAAGACGGCCCAAGAAGCTTCCAAGAGGGCCCCAGGACAGCCCAAGAGGGCCCCAAGACGGCCCAAGAGGCGCCCAAGATGGCCCAAGAGGGCCCCAAGACGGGCCCAAGAGGGGGCCCAGAGGGGGACCACGAACCGCAAGCTCGAGCCTTCCGCCCCAAGAGGCCGCCAGGAGGCCCCAAGGAGGCCCCTCAAGAGGCCCCAGGAGACCCCCAAGAGGCCCAAAGGAGGCCCCGAGAAGCCCCAAATCGGCCCCCAAAATGCTTCGAACCTGCTTCCAGGAGGCCCCCGACAGGTTCAGAGGCTCCCGAGAAGCTACGTCAAACTCCCAGCGAGCGGCCGGACGAGGCCCCCCAAAAAATCCCAAGAGGGTTCCAGTATTTGTATCCTTCAGCGCTCTCTGGCCTTCTTCTCCCTGCCCCCTTCCCAGCGACTTTCGTTGACTCAAGCTCGCCTCCTCTCCATGTCCTCTCTCTGCCTCTCTCTCTCTCTCTCTCTCTGTCTTTTTTTTGTTTCTCTCTCTCTCTCTCTCTCTCTCTCCATCTCTCTTTCTCTCTCTCTCTCTCTCTCTCTCCTTCGCTCTCTGTCTGTCTGTCTCTCTCTCCCTCTCTTTCTCTCTTTCTCTCTCTTCCTTTCACATTATGTGTCCTTGCGACCTCCTGCAGTCCCCGACGTCGCCACGGCTGGATCCGCTCGAGCGTGCGTTGTGATGTGCGGCGGTGCGAAGCCCGTCCCACTGATCAAGGCACAGGTACGAAATGATGGGTCCATCATTTCTTGCCTTCCCATGTGCGTTTTCCCAATCGATTCCTGGGCCCGAGGTCGCAAAAATTACGACGTCGGAGGTCTGGGGAGGCGGGAAGCACGACCTGGACCTCCGACGTCTTGGAAAAATCACGACGGCGGTTTTTGTTAATTTTCGGCCTCCGGGGCCCCTCGCAGGTTCCCGGGACCGTCAGAAAACGACTCAGGATGAAAACGACTTGGGCTACAGGGCTATTGGGCTACAGGGCTATAGGGCTGTAGGGCTATAGGGCTAGGGCCATAGGGCTATAGGGCTATGTGGGCTATTCGGCTATTGGGCTATAGGGTTGTTGGGCTGTAGAGCTATGGGGCTATAGGGCTACAGGGCTATAGGATCAGAGGGCTATAGAGCTAAAGGGCTAGATGGATATAGGGATATAGGGCTATTGGGCTATAGTCCTATAGGGCTATACGGCTATAGGGCAATAGGGCTACAGGGCTATAGGGCGATAGGGCACCCCCAGGCACCCCGGCACCCGGGCACCGGGCACCCAGGCACCCGGGCACCGGGCACCCGGGCACCCGGGCACCCGGGCACCCAGCCCGGCCGCATGGGGCCGGAATCTTGCCGAACCTCATCGAACCTTTTAATCCGCCAGGACCCTGACAGAGGCAAGCTCTGATTGGGTACTATCCCATGGCAACCGCCGCTGCCTTCGTCGCCGCGATCGCCGCCGTCTTCATCGCCGCCGTCGTCGACGTCCTCGGGTTCTGTTCGGGCACCCTCTGGCCATCTCGTGGGGCACGCTGGGGGATTATCAGAGGCATCCGTAAGTATCCTGAGAGGCCCCGCGACTTCCCCCAGAGACTCTAACTACAGAAACTCCTTTCGTATTCCGGCCAGAAGCATCCAGAAACGATGTACATTAGCCCTGGCGGGGGGAATGATGGCGATGGTGATGTTCATGATGACGACGGTGACGATCCTAGCTAGAACCTAAGCGCGCGCGTGGTTCTAGTATATATATATATATATGTATGGATGGATGGATGGATGTACATATAGGCATGTAGGTATGTATATACATACATATAATGATTGGTATTTATAGAGTTACAGATACATATACATAGATGTCGGCATACGTATAGAACGATAGATGCATACATAGATGGATATGTATATATCATATACATAGGTTACATATATATAGATAGATAGGTAGGTAGGTAGGTAGATAGATAGATAGATATATACAAACGTACAGACAAATATACCTAGATACACAAATACATGCATTGATCTGTACATATTCCTCTTCCTATATTTTTACAAGCCCAGGCGGGGGGGAAACCCGCCCCCCCCCCCCAAAAAAAAAACTCCCGGGATCTGGGGCTTTGGGACCCTCCGGACGGGCCTCGAAGCGGCCCCCCGGGCCTCGCAGGGCGTTTTGCCAAGCCTTCCCAGCACACCTAGGGCGAGACGTCCCAGAGACCCCCAAGACAGCACAAGAGCGCTCCAAGAGTGACCGACGTGACCTCAAGATGGCCCAAAAGGCTTCCAGGACGGCCCAAAGAGGCCTCCAAGAGCACCCCCAAGAAGGCCCCAAGAGGCACAAATCTTTGATTTCCTGTTGGTTTTTGCTGAATTTTGGGGTTCTCCTCTTTTCGGCTTCCCGACGCTCCAAGACGGCGGTCTTCTGGGCGTCCGAAGCCTCCTGGGAGGCTCCAACATCGCCCCACAACCATCCGAAAGGGCTTCCAGGCAGTCCAAGAGAGCCCCAAAACGGCACAACACGGGTCCAAGATGGCCCTCAGAGAGTCCCATGGCGGCCCCCGGAGCATTCCAAATCGTGACCCGGTCGTTCAGGGAGACCGCGGTTGGAGGCAGGGTGGCCCGAGGAAGTCCCCAGAGGCCCACAGAATACGCCCAGGAGGCCTCCAGAAGGCCTTAAGAAAGCCTGAAACAACTTTTGTGAGGCCCCCAGAGGCTCTCCAAGGAGGAGCCTCCGCAAAAAAGAGCTGAGGAGGATGGGGAGAATGCGCAGGGCATGGCGGAAATATGGAAAAAGAAGCATGGAGGAAGGATAACGAATAGCATTATTATAGCGGCGATGCCAGAAAAGTCGAAGAGGAATTATCTCTAAATTGTCGGCTTGACCTTCCTGCTATTCCGCCTGCATGCCAAACTTCAAGGACCAAGGTGCATGGCGCGAAGCGCCACTGCAGTCTCTGTATACATATATGCATATATATATGCACGTAAATAGAGAGATAGATATATGGATGGAAATGTGTAACAAATATAAACACATACATCTATATACATATATACATACAAACATACATACATACAGCTGCTGAGCCCAAGCCTGAGCGGGCCCTGAAATCGAAACTCGAGCAGAACATTACGAAGAGGGAAGTTCGAGTCCGAAACGCCACGCCCAATAGCCACGCGCCAAAGCCCGCGCCGCTCCCAGCTGGACTGGAGAGGAAGAGCGGCGGCGCGGTCTTGCCTGCCGGTCGCTCGGCCCGCCCAGACGGATCGAGATCGCCTTGTAGTAGGAGGCAGCATCATTCGGCCGTTTCGGCAAGAGGAGGAGAACATCGACGACGACAGGGAGAACGAGGATGAGGGCGAGGATGATGAGGACGGAAATAAGAGGGAGACAAGGATGAGGACAGGGGCGATAAGGATGTATTGAAAAGTCGTGGAGGGGACGCTTGTCCCGTGTGCACGCGTGCGAAGGTCTGCTCAGCGGTCGCGGATCTGCCCGCGCGGTCTCACGAGCATTCCGTGCGAGTGGGTGTGCACGGCACGGCGTGTGCACGGCGTCGCCGCTGTTGCTTGACGGCAGGAGCTGCCAGCGCCCTGACGCGGCGCAGGGTGACTCTGACGAGATGCGCGAACCCGCATCCCCCTCTCTGCACAGATCTCCAGTATAATGTGTGTGTGTGTGCGCCATTTCGCGTGTCGTTCTGTGCTCATTAGCAGTATTGCGTGCGCGCGCGCCTTCCAGGCTGCTTTTGTTGTGCGTGCGGCCGACTGCTGATGTAGCGTCAGCGGCACGCTTCCTCGGTAGCGGTTGTGATCCCGTGTGCAGGAAGTTCATTTCGAGTCCGTTGTTTGTGTTGCTGTTGTTTCGTCCGGCAGCCACGCCGATGACGAAAGCGGCACAACACCCCTCAGTGTTGGAGACCACGGCTTCCCTCGCAGGAGAGGGCACCGCGTGGTCTTGGTCACCTTCGCTTCTTCCCTCTTCCCCCTCCGTTCCGGACTCTCCCATCTCCTTCCAACGCTTGTCCCCTCTCCCCATTCTGCCAGACATCCAGACGCCAGCACCAGCCAGGCTGGGCACGGCCGCGCTGACTGCCAGCACGACTGGGGCGGAGACGACAGGACCCCAGACGAGCGAGTCGGCAACGCCATTGCCACTGACAGAGGAGCCGATTGGCGTGGCGACAGCGACCTTGTCTCACAGAGGGACCGCCGATGCACCAACACCGACGCGGACAGGGACGCCGAGGCTGACACCATTTGGAGGGCCGCCCGTAGCACCGACACCAGCGACGCCAACGTAGCCGAGCCTCGGCATACCCAGGGGCCTCACACAGCAGCGAGCAGCTCCCCATGGCTGACAGTTTGATTGGCGATGACTGGCATCATTACGGGCAGACGCTCAACTGAAAAACACGAGCAAGAGCGCACAAAGCCGCGCTGATGGCCAGTGCGACCGTGGCGACTGCGGCAGCGCCACCAAACCAGCGAAAACGCGAGGCACGCCCAACAAGCGTCACAAACGAGCCAGCAGCGGCCCTGGCTACGACGACAAATGGCTTGAGGTCAGCGACTACACCTTCTGGTACGACCGCCGCTGCACCAACAGCGACGCCGACATGGACGCCGACGGTGACACCACCAGGCGAGCCACTAGTGGCACGGATCGCAGCAACACCAGCGTCCTCCCGACAGCAATGGGCAGCTCACCAATTTTGCAAGCCGACGTGGCGATGGGTTCCCCGATCTCGTGAGGCCTTGCTCCAAAGCCGGGAGGGGCTCCTTGGCACACGTCGCAGAAGCCCCCACGACCGCGTCTGGTATTCCGGCGCTCGCACATACGATAGCTCAATGCCCACAGCGTTGAGTTTCCCGCGCTCTGATGCGGAAGGGGCACGGTGCGGCGAGGTTGCGGGATGCAGGCTCCCAAAAAGTGCGAGCGATGAATCTCAAGTATTGTGCGGTGTTCGGCTTGTTCGCTTGGACGTGCACACGGCGGCGCTTGACCCGCCAGGGCCTTCTCCTAAACTCTCGAGGGGCCCAGCTTGGAGACTGCAACGAGCCCCGATTCGGCCCCCGTCCTCATGTCGGCACCGTGGTTCCCTACAGTCTCTGTGGAGCAGGCGAAAAACGCCAATGGTGAACAGGATGAGTTCGGCGGGCACCAACGAAGCAGGTACCAGTCAAGCATCGGGAGGGTCGCACTGGAAACGAATTGTGGCACAGAAGGAGAAAAGCAGAGGAGAGAGGCGGAAAAGAAGGAGCCGCGGTCAGAACATGAGGTCCTTCACGCGCGTGCCGGAGGTGCACGATGAACCCGTAGGATTGGCCCACTGGAGTCAGGTAGAGCACGACGAGGAAGAGACACGAGAGCAACCCGTGAAATTGCAGAGCGGCGCAGTGTTACAGCTGCCTGAGACGCGTCAGCCATGGCGGGGCGTGCACGCAAGTCACTGAACCCAGTGGCTCAGAAGCGGTGCGCCTTGTGATAGTGGGCGCGCTCCCCGGGCGAAATTGCTCGAGGGCAGGATGTGCGCCCAGCGCGACGCTTCCTTTCACATTCGCAGGGGCGCCCCTCCTGAAAGCGGCGCCACGACTCGGACCAGGACCGTGGACCGAAGGCGGACGGACGCCCCCGCCGAATATCGTTGTTGCCGTGGCTATGAGGGGATACAACCAAAAGCATTTGAAGGCAAGAGCTGCTTGAGGGCAACACTTGATTACCGAACACCTTTGCCTCCCAAAACATTGGCCTCCAAAACATGTGTGCCTTCAGATGCCCTTCGAGCTCCGCCACCGCCCACGGGCCGCTGCAGGTCTCCCCAGACAGGTCTGCTCCAGGAACTCTGGCCGCCCGTGGCGCTCAGGACGCGACACCCAGGCCTGCGCGTCCCCGCGGGCATTGCCTGGTGGTGGGCGTGGGCGTGGGCTGGTGGTCCTCCCTTGGGTCGCCCACATTGCGGAGCATGTGGCAAGCGACACGGGGCACGCATGCGAGTAGACAGACTCTGTGCTCTGGCCGAATAGACGTCACCTGCTGGAGGTTCCCGCAGCTTGCGTCGGTGACCTCTCGGGTCCCCCAAACGGCCTCTTGAGGTCACAGGCCAGGCAGGCCATCCACATGTGTAGCCTCCCGCAGTCATTTTCTTCCGTTTCGTCTGGTGTGGCAGCCTATATGGCGTCCAATGTTCTCCGATCAGAGCACGCCAGGCCCACGAATCGATGTTTACTTAAGACTCCTTCAAGGAAGCGCAAACATGGATCTGGTGCCACTTCCGTGAGTAATCGGCGCGATGCGTCGCCAAATGAGGCGGCATTGGCCGAGTAGTTTAAGGGGTACCTTCCCCGATTCGTAGAACTGGCGCCCACGCGCCAGGATCCACGGATTCCTAATCCAAGTTGGCATGTGCTTGATTCTTCACTCTGCGCACGCCGCGATCCTCCACTTGGTCAGCATCCTCGTGTTCGGCTGCAGCTGCGGCGCGGCTCAGCGCGGCACTGAGAAGCGCCCCTCGGTGTCGTCTGCTGATGCTTACCCTGCTTGTCCTCGTCCTCATCCTCCCCTTCCTCTTCCGTACGCTCTTCCTCCCCCCTTTGATCCAGTTCATTGTCATCGTTTTCCCCTCCTCCACCTACTTCCTTTTCCTCTTCAACAAAAAGCCAGGATTAGCCCGACGGGTGGCTGGCAGTAGGTCCGAATGAACCCAAAGTATCCGCCCATGACGAGGAAAAGCAGCGGGGGGCGGCGGCGGAAGGGCAGAGGAGGGCTTGAGGAGGAGACGAGCTTCAGGAGGCACGGCAGAATGACAGCATTGTTGCAGATTTAGGGTGGGTCGGTGTCCTCCTCCCGCCTTATACCCCCGCTCCCTCATCACCGCCCTCCAGGCTGACGCACTCCATGGGTGGGCGGCACCCCACCCCAGCTGACAAGGCCGTGCACCCTGCTTCCAGGGAGGACGATCCGGTCCGATCCTCACCGCCTCTCTTCTCCTCATATCCCACTAGAGGCGGGCGGGGTCTGCATCCGCTGCTGGGATAGCCGTGTTGTCGTGAGGACAGCGCGCGAAATCACAAGGGCTGTCCCCGTGCCAGACCCGCCCGCGAGGTTCCCAGAATTGCAAAATTTCATTGAGTCGCAGGAGGTAGGTTGGCTTGCCCGCACAGTGAGTGCAAAAAGCAGGCCTCGCGAAGAGGCCAAGAAGTCCACTCGCACTGGCCGCTTCAGTGCAGTTCCCCGCCCTTTCCAACGCAAGCGGTTTGAGGGCTGATACGAACAAGAGCGCCGAATATCTGCGCCCGCTTGCATGCTGGGGCCTCAATCCAGGTCGTCTGGCCCTCATGAACTCAGGTCGAGCACCGCGTGAGCGGCATAACTGCGGAGAGGTTTTCCTTCTGCCGTCTGCACGGCGTACCCGCATCACAACGCAGGTGAGTCCCCAAGGAAAGAGGCGGGGGGCAGGAGTGGGGAATGGGAGAGAAAACGACTGGAGGGGAGCCGATGAGGGAGGGAGTGAGGACGAGAGGGGAGGAGAGAGCAAGAGGGGGGAAGGGGGGAGGAGAGGGGTGGAGGGGTGGAGAAGGAGTACGATGAGCAATCAGAATTCGTAGACCACGAAAGCGATAGGTTCGAATATCCGAGAACTTGACGAAGACACAATATCCAGCCACAAATAAGGATCCAGTCGAACGTCGTAGTGTGGTCCATGATGTTTCTAGTGGCCTTCGACCCATCCCGCCACCGTGCTTAGATCGTGGACGAGAAGCCTTTGGGAAGGTTTCTTGAGCAGCCTCTCGGGGATCTCTTGGGAATCTCTTCGGGCCCTCTTGACGAATGTCCGGTTGGGATTCTTGGGTCGATCTTGGAGTGCAGGTATCCCCCGTGGCACATTTATGTTGCTCTCATTGGGGTTCCCATCCGCTCCAGATCACGGCCGTGATTGTCGATAAAGCTAATATTGCCATGTGCATCGCATGCTACATGAGGGGCACCCAGCATTCATGTTGGACATTGCGTGTGGGCTCGGGTTCGTCGGTTTTCCTGGACGTATATTGTCATACGGTTGCATGGTACATCTGAGCTGAGGTGTGCACCGTATTCGGGGAAGGACATGATTCGGCATCAAGCGGCTTGTCTCCGTAACAATTCGCCGAGTCTCAGTATTTCTTTGAATAGGTTTCGGTAACAAGTTTTAGTATTCCTTGGACAGCGCTTGTCTTTAAGGATTCATATTTGTGTTCTAAGGAATTGGCCTCCTTTGTCGGTCCGCCGCCGTGTTGCCGCCGTCGCCGCCCCACCGCTGCCTCGTCGCCGCCCGTCGTCTGGGCTCGCTTGTCTGGCTCGCCGCCTTGTGGCAGCCGTCGCCGCCCCGTCGCCGGCTCGTCGCCGCCCGTCGTCTAGGCTCCTTTGTGAGATCCGCCGCCTTGTTGCCGCCGTCGCCACCTCGTCGCCGCCCGTAGTCTGGGCTCGTGTGTTGGGTCAGCCGCTTTGTTGCCGCCGTCGCAGCCTCGTCGCCACAACACGGACTGCACAACATACCTTGCATAACCTAGATTCACCACATGTGTTGCCCCACATAGATTGCAGAACATCGATTTTCTTGTCGCAAAGGGTATTAAGATCTACCCCCTATCCGGCCAGGGGTTAACAGTGCATCTTTTCGTATTGCAATGTACATACGATTCTGCCCCATCGTCCATCCAAGAATACAATCTATACCATCCCAGGTAGGCCAGCATCGACCACCCCACCCTTCGCCATCTTCTGCAAAAAATTATGCGCGCACAGGAAGTGCACACGAGCGCATCGTCGCGCGCGCATGCCGAAATCCTTCAAAAAAATCAGGCTACGTAGCGAATTCAAAAACGAGTGCAAACATACATAACAGACAGATTGTTTGGCAACACTGATTTTCAAAACAAACATGCGCGCGTGCTTGCGATCGTTGAAGAAAACCAGCGGTTGTTTAAAATCTTCATAAAATACTACCGGACGGGCTTTGCGCGCGTGCTGTCGCGAGAACCTTTTGCAAAAAAATTGACGATGTGCACGCGCGCGCGTCGTCGCGCGCGCATGCCGACATCCTTTAAGAATTTCAAAACCGAGTGTCCCGAATTAATATACAGCCACATGGCTTCGCAACATCAGTCTTCAAAAAGACTTGCGCTCGCGCTCTGGCAAACCCTTAAGACAACCATGAGCTTTTCAACATTCTCATTGAATTCTGCCAAACGGGCCTCTCGCGCCGCATGCCGAAATCATTCGAATGCCGTTGCGCGCGTGCTGGGGGGTACACGGTCCGTGTCAAACGATACCATGCGGCCACTCTCGCGCGTCGGCCGTGCGCGCATGGCGAAGTCCACCCAAAACTTTCATCACGGCGCGAGGACGCCGTCATCGTCGTCGGCTTGATCAGCATCAGCGCCATCACTAACCACACCGTCGTCGCTGCCAGCATCGTTACCAGCATCGCTACTATCATCCTCGTGTCTACCGTTGTCAACGCTGCCATGATACCGCGCCCGCACAAGGCGCCGACTCGCACTGAAGTGCCCGCTGGGATGTGCCCAGCGGTCAGCGCCACCGCAGCCGCGTCAGTCGCGCCAATCTAACTGGCCTCTGCGCGCGCGTGCATGCGCGGGCTGGCGCGGCCGCAGAGATGCACCAGCCAACGCCAAGCATTCATCGCAATCGTCGCCGCATGGGCTTTGCGAACCAGGTTGCGGGAAGGCGGCCGGGAGGTTTGCAAGAGCATAAAATGTGTCAGTTCGCTTGTAAAAACCAGTTGTCTTTTATTCAGAGAATAGACCCTACCCTTCCCCCTGATTGTCCGTACCCGTTGTCAAGTGTTGAAATTTACTTGCGATTTCTGCCCCATCGTCCACTTGAATTAGACTTCGCACCATCCCAGGCAGGCTGGTACCGAACCCCCCCCCCCTTTCATTCGTTGCCAAAAAAATTCGATGCGCGCATTCGTCTATCCAAAATCAATCGTTTTCAACCATATTTGGCGAAAGACGGGGCGAAGTGCACGCGCGCGTCGTCGCGCGCGCATGCCGACATCCTTCAGAAAGCTTCGGTTTCGCAGGAATTTCAGAATCTGGTGCCCCAATAAAATATTAAGACACATGGTTTCGCAACCCGGATTTTCAAAAAAATGCGCGCTCTTGCGAGCGTTTAAAGAAAAATTTTGGTTTCCCAAGATTTCACAGAATCCTATCAAACGGGCTTCGCGCGCGCGCATGTCGAAATTGTTCGAGCGCCCTTTCGCGCGTGTTGTCGCGAGAATTTTTCGCCGCAAAATCGACGAAGTGCACGCGCGCGCGTCGTCGCGCGCGCATGCCGAAATTTGTCAAAAACCCCAGGTGCCGCCAGGATTTCAAAACGAGTGTCGCGAAAACCATATTTGTATATACTCATGTATATGTGTATATATATATATATACATATATATATATATGTATTGTGTGTTCTGGCGTGCTTGTTGTTCTCTGCGAAAGAAGGATGGGAGGGCGCTGATGGCGAACACGACCGTGATCGCTGTTTGTGCTCAAGTTTGTACAAGGTGACCGAAATGCCCGGCCGCGCTCTGTGGCTTGGCTATTCGGCTCCCTCGCTCAGCTGCTGACTGCGCACTGGTGGCGTAGCCATCCCTGCCCGCAGTGCCCAGCGTGCCCGGGCGCCACGTGCCCTACGTGTCCAAGTACGAGTTGCCCTGCCTGTCCGAGCTTCGAGTGCCCGTCGACTTTGTACCCCTTGCAGGCCGGCGGGGTCGCCGGCGGGGGGGCTGCGCAAGAGGCTGCGCCGCCGTTCAATCGGGCCGAGGCCGAGTACTCAGCGCCTGACGCCCCAAGCCCGGCGGCGCCGGGGGCGGCGCCTGCGCCCGCGCCGGCGCCTGAGCCCCCGGCGGCTGGTGCGGCGCCGGCGCCTGAGCCCGCGCCGCCGCCGCCCGTGTGGTCAGAGGCGCCTTGGGGCAGTTGGCTGGGAGAGCTGGCGCTGCTGGGGGTGAACCTGCTGCTCATCGTGTTCCAACTGGTGCGAGTGCTGGTGGCCCGCTGCTGGGCCTTGACCTGGGATTACCGCTCGCGTCGATCGCGAGCCCCAGCGGCCATAGGCGATGTCGGTTCCGCCCCAAGACGTGCTCCAGTGGGCTTGGGTGTTATACGCCGTCGAGCGGCGGTGGCACCAGCGCCGGATTTGGGGCCGGCTGGAGGACCCGCCGGCTGGTCGACAAGCGGATTTGATGTTTCTCAGTAGCACGCCCGACCATGATGTATATGAGGAGAACTACAGCAGGAACAGTCCAGACATCCTGGCAGTGCGGTTTGGCCAGAGTCGTCGCGATCGATGCGGCCTGGACCACGCCCACCTCCACTGCTTCAGGCGGAGGCTGACGGCGGCAGAGGAGCGAGCCATCAAGGCGACGCTGGTTCAGGTCGCCGACGAGACGTTTCTGGCCCGAGAGACGGCGGCTGGTCGGGCCGCCGTGCTGCCCGTCAACGGCGCTCTGGTGCTGTTCGACTTCGAAGCTGGGGCCGCCGCTGCAGGGGCCATCGTGCCCGCTGGGCCCGCGGACGGAGGCGCCGAGGCAGGCGCCGGAGCCGCCGCGGGCCTTGCGGGCGTCGCCCCTGGCCGCGGCCCGGCGCCGGGCGCACCTGCGGCCGTGGCGGCGGCGGGCGCCGCCGCACAGCCCGGGGCCGCCGCTGCAGCAGGCGGAGGTGCCGGCGCAGGGGCGGCCGCGGCTAACCTTGGCGCTGGGGCGCCCGAGCCGTTTGCCGCGCCGGCCGCCGCAGAGTGGGTCATGACGGAGACCACCAGTGCTGGCGAGCGCGGCACCGTGGCGCAGTTGAACGGGACGGAGAAGTTCGGTGGTGACGTCGGGATCCTGAAGATGGACCAGGGATGGATCGGCATCAGGAAGGTGAGCATCAATCTGGCGATCTACGCTGGGGCTGAGGCGGGTTTCGACGCTCGGCTGATGGGCGTGCCGCTGCAGGCGGACGGCCACCGCACGCGGCTCCAGTTCCGCGACGCTGTGAGTAAGTTCGCGCAGACGCCCCTGCCGGGCTGGCCTCTTGAGGGGCCGCGGTCTGCCGCCTGGTGCTTCGTCTTCATCGACCGTCGTCGGGGCGGGCCCTTGGAGCACTTTTCTCAGTTCAAGAGTCAGCATCACTTGACGAATGAGGACTATGGGGTCTCGCACTACGAGAGCATCATGAGGATGATCGATTACCTGGCCTGATGGGATCGGGTGAACCTCCCCGACCTTGCGGGGGTGGAGTCAGTGACGCGGCAGGCGCAACTGTACGAGTACGCGTACGCCATCGAGGCCGAGGGTACTCTCCACGCGGCCCCTCAGGCGAATGAGAATGACAAGAACAAGAGGGGCCGCGGCCGCGGACGAGGCTTCGCCAAGTTCGCTTTCCTGGATGAGGCCTCGGCCTTCATCGGCACGTCGCGGGAGGACGGCAGGATGATGGTGGGTCCTGACCTCTTGACCCACGCGTCGGCCATGGTAGACAGGGACGCGGGCATCCTCAAGGCGCTGCGGAAGGCCAGGGAGGAACGCCGCGCCCTCTCAGGCCAATGAGAGCGACCTCGGGCGGCGCGACTCTCGGCCCGCCCGAAAAGCATCAGAGGGCGACTCCAGACATCCCCGCTGGAGCCCGACATGTACATGGGGAGCCTCGCTCTATTCCTGAGGATAGTCGCCAGCGTGACATCTTTCCTCGTCGCCTTCTACTTGATTCCCCCACTCTGAAGATCCAGAAGGGTAAGACTTTGACTCGGGCAGCTGAGAGGCGGCTTCACAGGCACCGGCACCGAGGGGGCACAGTCAACGAGCTGGTGGACGTGCTCATTGAGATGTACCTCGGGCCGTGCGGCCCCGCTGGCCTTCCTCAGCGCGGGCCTGCTCAGCCGCTGCTCGCAGTCCACGCCGCGGTGCACGCGGAGCTCGAGGCGGCTGTCCGCCGCTTCGGCGAGCCTCCGGTGGACCTCGACGGCCCAGGAGCCCTTGCGGAGCTCCGGGTATCGCAGGCGCACCATGGGGAGGCCATGGCGCTCGCCCCGGTCGGTTTCGACAACGTCGGCCGCATCTCCCTCCCGTCGGCTGCGACCTCTCCTCGAGATCTGGAGTCACTTGCAGGGGATGTGGGCCGGAAGATCGCCGACCGCTTGGAAGATTTGCTGTTACCCCGAGAGCGCGGGTTGGATCGTGTCCGTACTGAGGGGCCACGTCGTC